ACCATATTTGCAGCGTTGTCTTCACAACTACAGGGTGTTTGCTGGTCAGCCTCCATTTGTTAATGTCTTCAATCAACCTATTGGCTATATTTGCAGCTGTCTGGCTTGAAGTAATCTTGAGTGCATCTTTCCTGCATTTGAATGTGAACGTCATGTACTAATCAATCTCATTCCCAAGACATCGATTTTGCAAAAATGTAAAGGAATAGATTCATAATCGATTAAATCGATTTTTTTACCCAGCCCTACTAACAAACTATTTGTCTGTCTGTCAATTTCTCATTGATACCAACCATGGTGGGGGACTGTATTGGTGAGACTTCCTTATTAATCATCCATTCATTTTTGTTTCTATTTAAACCCTTTCTTATTACAACGAGGTAAACTTCTTTTAACTGATAGAAAATAGAGAAGGTCTTCTTGGGCAGTATGTTTTGGGACGGCCTCTGCTTTGAACCTCTGAGGAATTTTACTGTAAGAGGTCTATAGATTGGAACTTATGGATTTTTACATATAATTTACAGTTGAGAGATGAGTTTATTTTGAACTGATCATCTTTTCTGCCCAAATGCTCTGAAATTGTGCCCCTAAAGTACTAAGTGTAAAAGTTTATTTCTTCAGTCGGCCAGATGATTAAACCTAATCAGCTTGGGTAGTGTGTCTAGATAAACAGTATTAAAGCTGTTGTTAATGGGGCTTATAAATACTATGTCAACAATTTCATCTGCACTGCCATGACACAACATCAGCTCATCGTTGAAGATACATCTCATGTTTACACATGACAAGAAAACCCAATGGGGGCTACTAAAGCTAAATGATTGCTTTATGGCATGATTGCACGTCCACATCCACACGACAAGGCTCAAATTTTCTGCTGAAACATCTGCACTGATTCCCTGACTGAGACTCATCAAAACAGAGTGCAGGAGGTAAATCAAGGGGAAAAGAGGCCGGACACCTTCTAAATGTTTTTTTTCTTTCATTCATTATGATGCCTGCTTGAAATATATCATCTCTTCACATATTTTCATTTGATTTTTTCCACACTGCAAGAAGCTAAACAGAAGGACAGGGCAGAAGAAGCTCAGCTGCTGTCCGACATCTTTCAGACACCGGAGCAAAATATTGCCAAGATTTTGTCACTGCTTTAGCTGTCTCATTACCCGGCGTGGGCTTGCATCAGGAACTGAATAAAAATACACTCATTTTACAGTATAAACATACATATTTAAATCAAACACAGTCAAACTGCTTGATGCTCATCAATTTTAGTTTCAAACAGGGTTGCCTTAAAAAAGAATAATGAGTGGCTTGTGTTTCAAAAAGTATGTCCTAAGTACATCTAAATTGGATCATGGTTGTTTTCCCACCTGATAGTCTGGTTTATTCGGATTCATTGGGGACACAAATTGCATCATTGTTACTATTCTCATCTGGTGCGGCTTGCATTCACAAGACATTTTTTTCAAACTGAAACAAACCTTTGGATCCACCTGTTTATACCCTCGCCTGTAGTGGCGCTGGAAGAACCCCTATAAAAATGGTTGGTCAACAACACAAAAATGTTACAATGGCAGTGTTATTGCTAAGCTGTTTTTGGCAAGTTTGGCAGATAAGTATTTTTCAACAATAAGCTCAGCATGAATGAAAAAAAAGGCGGACGGCCGCAAAGATGGCCTCAAGGTAGGTGAGATAGTTCCAAATGAGGCGGCCACATGCGAAAAGCATTCAGCTTAATTGTACTATTGCAAGACTGCACAAATGTCCAGCAATGTACTTTTTAAGACATGAATAACCTCATTTGTATTATTACTACTGAAACAATGAATCAGATTATTCGTGGTTAATCAATTATTGAAATAATCTTCATAATCGAGTATAGTGACTCTAAAACATGCCTTTAGGTGAGAGAGCACTCCACTTAGAGAAGTAATTTTATTAAAATTTTAAAAGATATATATATTATATATATATATATATATATATATATATATATATATATATATATATATATATATATATATATATATATATATATATATATATATCTGTGTTGATCGACAAACAGCAGAAGAAGGCAGTAGTGATAGATGTGGCAATCCCAAGCGACAGCAACATCAAGAAGAAAGAACACGAGAAGCTTGAGAAATACCAAGGACTGAAGGAGGAGCTAGAATAGATGTGGAAAGTAAGAGCAGCAGTGGTGCCAGTGGTAATTGGAGCACTGGGGGCTGTGACCCCCAAACTGGGAGAGTGGCTACAGCAGATTCCAGGTAAAACATCAGAGGTCTCTGTCCAGAAGAGCGCAGTCCTAGGAACAGCTAAGATACTGCGCAGAAGAACCCTCAAACTCCCAGGCCTCTGGTAGAGGACCCGAGCTTGAGGATGACACATACTACCCCACGAGGGGTGAGAAAACAGTTTATATATATATATATATATATATATATATATATATATATATATATATATATATATATATATATATATATATATATATATATATATATATATATATATATATATATATGTGTGTGTGTGTAGGTGGGTGTGTGTGTCTGTGAAACAGGGTAAGTATGTGGTTGCTGATTTCCAAATGTGTTGTATTGGAGCAAAAGGTTGAGAATTACCAACATAGAAATGAACCAGGACAGGATAATCAAAATTCTAACTGAAATCAACATCTTGTTTAATTCTGTTAGTATGAAATATTTTCCAATCAACCAACCATATGAGTATAAAAATGTAATGTTTCATGAATGCAGGTAAGTTTTTCACCAACATTTATATCTTTTGTTGTTAGAGATTACATCAGGATGTCATGAGTTCAAAAATTCTGCATGTTGGCTTGAATAGATCTTCATCAGCACAGACAGAGCGTCTCCTTAGTGTTCCTTGGAATAAAGTAATGATGTCATTGCCTCATTCCTGTGACATTTAAATACTGCTTACATAAATGCAGGAGCAGTGGACCCTATGTAAGGCTAGAAAAGGTTTTTAAAAATTCCAACCTCTCTTTGCCTGAGAATAAATTGTATGTACCACAGATGCATATAAGTAACAAAGTGATACTGTATCTAACTGCCATTATTATATGGTAAACAACCTGTGCTTTAATAGCACATTATCAATTGCAAAGAGCTTAATACTGCTTTAAATTACTAACCCTTTCATACACTGACTAGCAGCACAATAAGTGTATTCTAAGTATCAGGTAGAGTATCACATTGTATGAAGGCCATAGTGGATTTTCATATTGTCTGGGGATCATAAGTGCCATTGTCTAAGAACTTTCTGAAGTATATGACAAGATGCCCCTCCCCCTTGTCTTGCTGGTTGGGAGATGTTACATGCCTTGTCCAGGATTGCACCGTATTATATCATAACCTTAAATTTTGATGATTTCCAAGCTCCATATTTTAAGCACATTCTAGAAATCAGAATAAGGTAGAAAAAAATCGTAGTCACAATTATATCCTTATTCTAAGATTTGCAAATAATACTACTACTATTAGCATCTAGTAGCACAGCATGTAGGTCATTGGTGTAGAGAACTGTAGGCAGTGGACAGCAACAGGTTGGGGAGGGGCAGTTTTACACCAACTTATGCTCCATGCAGCCGAAACATAAGTTTCGGCTGCATGGAGCATCTGCAAACCACAGTGGCATCCCACTAAAAGCTTAGAACAACTATGAAGGATAATTTTAGCAGTTTTAAGACCATTTTTTGATGGTATGATAACAATAATCTTTTCTTTGTTTAAATTTCAATTCTACAAAAATCTTTGTGTTCCTGCAGACTGTGACTTAAAAACAACTCACCAGAGCACGGCCTTCTTTCAGAACTTTGAGTTAGCATAATCCCTCTCTGTTCTTTTCCTCTTTTTGCTCGCTCATTCCTATACGTCCACACACGAGTGAGCAAAGTTGTCTCACACACCCACACTGATACACACACATTTGGAGTGACAGCACCATTCTGTAATTAAGCAATAAAACGCATCAGCAAACTGCTCAGAAGACCTCCACAGGGCACTTTATCTGGTCCTCACTGGCCTCTTGATTTACCCTTGATGATACCGCTTATGAACCATTTAAGCAGCCCTCAGTTGTGCCCGGCCCCCCCTGATCCAGAAGTCACCACATTAAGTAGCCACTCTATTTGCTCAAATGGTGGCATCTCACCAGATAATCGGCTGCGGACAGCAAGTGTGGCTATGTGGGAGGTGAGATGCTAACGGATGGTGTGTGGGAGAGTAATGTTTTATATTGGAGGAAGTGTGAGATCTCCATTAGAGACAAGTTTAATTGATAAACATGATAATAAAAAGCAGCAAATGGCCCGTTGGATGCTTTCTTTCAGCATAGCCAGGAGTGTGTCAGCACACACAATGGGTAATGGCACTGACACAAAGAGTATATAAAAAAAAAGAGCCTATAAAACATCATTAGATAATATGATCATTGTAGAGACATAAAAGAATAATAAAACCCTTCCAATTAAGAAGAGAGAGAAAGCAGCGCTATCCTGAGGGATTCCTCAAATGTTTCTTCTCACAGTCCTCTTTCCTCTCACCTAATCTCCCCCTTTTCTCCCACAATCCGGAGGGTATTATTTGATCCTCATCGCGCTCCGTGATGGGAATGCTGACAACTGAACTGTCACAAGTGGCCACGTTTAATTTACATGAATAATAAGCGGCAACTAAGTGTGTGTGTTTGTGTGTGTGTGTGTGTGTGTGTGTGTGTGTGGGGGGGGGGGGGGGTCTCGTCTTAAAAAAGGGGGTTTGAAAGGAGGAGAGGAAATATTGCTCTGACGCTTCAACATTTGTACATTAAACAACAACAGTAAATAGTTTATATGTGATCAATAAAAAAGAAAAAAGACGCACTGGGATCATTTGGCGTACACATGTTATTACCTGGTTAAAAATGTACAAATCTGTGCTTTAAAGATGTATAATAAAAACAACTTTAATGCAACAAAGTGTTCTCACCACAACATCCAGATCAGCGCTCGATGTACGGAGAATCCCGAGGAGTTTCCCTGCTCTTTCTGCGCCCCAAGTTGATCACAGCGGTCCGATGCGCTCCCACAGTCCCGACTGTGCGAGCTATGAAGGGAGACAAGCAAATTCAGGTCAGCCCGATTATTATTGTTCTAAAGAAAACATCAATCTTAACACGTGTTTTAAGGTAAATAATTGGAGGTTATACCTCTTTAAAGGAGCTGGGACAGCCGCCGGAGAGTTAAAGGAGAACCGGTGGATGGAGCGGGCAAAGCAGCGGCTGTCAGATTTGACTCCAAACTAGTGCTGACGATGCGCACAGAGATAAGCGGCGGAGGAGAGAGAGATGGAGAGACGGAGAGGAAGGGAGAGAGAGGGAGAGAGAGAGGGGGGAGCTACGCTGAAGCAGAGGGGCAGCAGAGGGAGGCGATCCGCTGATTTTAACAATTCACCCCCTTCAAAGTTATACAAGTGGGTCAGCATGTGGACATCAGTCTGAACCCAGCAAATACCTGACTAGAGTATTCATCTTGCTCTGAATAGTCAAAAGCGTAAATGCAGCTTCCATTTAACTTTAAATGGGGATGAAAACAAAGCATTAAAAAGGCAGGTGGTAGAAAAGAGCAGAATGAACTGACAAAATGTATCTGTAATGCTTTCATACTTTCATAAAAGAAAATACTGTCTTTTGGACTTGTTCAAAATGTGTCTTTTTGCAAACAAAAAAATCAACTCAAATCACAACTCTTATTTCATTGATCCAGCTCTTTTGTATTTTGTCATTTTATCCAAGGGTGATTAAATTAGTCTCTGCTAAAGGATGCGTTTTATTATCTGTAAGCAAAAAAATAATAATAAAAAAATCAGAAAAGTTTATAAGAATAAAGAATGGATTTATTTGTATTTTGTCTCATCAGTGATCTCTATTAATAATAAACGTCCTGCCTTCATGATGCTTCCACTACCATGCTTTACCATTGGTATAACCTTGCATATGCTCACTGAGCCTTGCTCCTCTGGAGGCTTACTCCTGTTAAAAAGGAGTTTTCTCTCTCCATTGTCACTGCATGCATGGACCAAATTTGGATTTCAGAAGTGGGGGGGGTTGTTCAAGTATTTTTAAATTTAACTAATGTCAGCGTCTTTGACCATCTAATCGCACATCCGACCAGAGCTGCTTAAGTCATTTTGAACAGTGGTTGCTGTGAAATTTTTATTGTTTTTTTTTTTTTTGGACAAAAGACCTATGAGCCTAAAGGCCTATTTAAATGCAATAACAATACATAGATTAAGATTCCCTTCTTTATTGTCATATGCACTTCAGTGCACAGAACCAGAGTCTGTAACACACTGACATCATCAGCTCTGAGGTGAATATACTGTATGTGCCACAGGTGCAACTTTCTAAAGGACTGGTGTGGAAATGTCCCCACCAATAATTTCAATACATAGACTTTGGCTCTCAACAATATGAGGGACAAATCTCTAAATTAGATTTTGATGCTTTTGAAGGAGGATAATCACTGATGTAGCTGAAAGGGAAAAGATCCAATCAATCCCCATTTTTCTAGATAGATTAATGAATGGATGAATGAAACTGAAATTGTGTACATACTAGGGAGGCATGATATGTTGCTGTTGGCATCGGAATCGGCTGTTATGCATAATTTTTTTTTAATACATTGTTGTCAAACTACCCATAGATTTAAATATCAATGTATTTTAGTTATTTTATTTTCTCAACAATAGGAAAGCATTCAATAAATATATGTCTGAGGTAAATTTTTTAAAATACAAACCCTAATGAAAGTGTTTGTGTCGAATAACTGTAGGTCCATCAGCCACCACCCTTAGAGTGTCCCCACCAACTTTCATCACAAAGTAACACCCTTGATATGCGCTATTAATTAAACTTGACAAAAACATGTCGATTTGCTCAGCTGGCATGAACCCGAGTCACCGTGTTTATGTCACATGTGAGTCTATTAGATCTAAAATCCTTTTACGCAAGCCACAAGTAAATAATTACTATACTATTTAATAGTTATTGAACAGTTCTCCACATCCATTACACAAAGAACACAAGGTCAAAATAACACTCTAAAATACTATGGTTAGGTTAAACTGCACGAATAGATATGAAAGTGTGTGGCCCCATGCTCTTTGAGCTTAAGGCAGGGTACCCTGCCTGGTTACAGGTGAGCAGACAAATCCAAAATGCATTTCTTTGCCATATTTCCTCCTCATTTCTGTCATTAGACTATGTAAATTTACTAGTCTGCTGCTGTGAGCAGGATACCACTCTGTAGCTTGGTTGACATTGCAATGACAACGTAACTTAAATGAACTTGTGTTGATTAGGCCTCAAAATAACCATCGTTTATCAGCGGCTGGCTAGCTCAAGCTGTAAATCACAAATACACATGGACTTCGCGCTAATACACGCCTGTTCTCCAGGATCCGCAAATGGCAGCCAACTGCTCCCCAAGGGGATGGGTTAAAAGCAGATAGTGAATTTTGTTGTAATGACAATAAAAGCCTGTGGGGAAAAAAATACACATAATAGTAAAATAAAAAAGGCAAAATCATTTCAAAAATATTAATGAGAAATATCAATATATATATATTTTTAAATCTCCCTCTTGCCAATAGGGAGTGCTGCAGCACCCCCGCTTCCCAAGGCCATGGAGCCAATTCAGAGGTTTGTAAAGTGAGCTTCTCACAAGTGACAGTGGTCACCGCCAATCACACAAGAAAAGACGATGGGACAATCAGGAGCTTGTGGGAAATATAAACTCAGGGAAGCAGGCTTCAGTTTCCGCTTGGTCCTAGTGCTCGACAGTTATCTGTGTACTTTAGCGTAACATTGTTTTTGGACAGTAAAACCTGCAGGGGACCAAAGCAGATGTTTGAAAAAGTGCAGGGGACATATCCTCCCCTCCCCCCTAAAAAACTCCTGTAAAGGTCAACGACAAAATGAAACAGAATATCTACTTTTAACCCTGCAACCAGCTGGTTTTCGATTGATAGAAAACATTTGACCAATCTGATTGTGTTATCTGATTGAATTGTCTCTGTAAAGTGCCTTAAGATGATATGTGTGGTGAATTGGTGTTATAAATAAACTGATTTGAACTGAATTCACTGCTGTATTGCCTTACCATTACTGCTAACCATCTTTCTGACCTGTCTGCTGTATTGCTGTCTGTCACTAATGATTATGAATGAATTGGTTCAGTTGATACTGCAGGTCATGCTGGTGTGAACCCCATCTAGGACCCCAAAGCTGAAGGAAGAGCTACAACTATCATTTACAGCCATCTTCATCTGGTCTCTGGATCAGCTCATCTGCATGCGCAAATGGCTGCGAGGCCTGCATCCCATAGGCAAAAGGGACAATGTGACATAAGAGCAACACGTTTGAGTAGAAGAAGCAGAAAAGAAGGAAAAATAAATTAAGAGCCTATGTCTAAAACAAAAAGTTTAAACATGTCTTTTGGGTCTGTGTGTAGTGGTACAGTAGCACAACTTCAGTTGAATACTAAAGTAGAAATAGAAACCTTTATCAGACGGGCTTTCTTATGTGATTATTATTTCTTCTCAATTAAGGCAATGTTAGAGGACCCCTTTGCAAATCTTTGCATTTGCATGATGTTTTCTTACCTGCTCTGAACACCTCTGCACCTCTGTGGAAGCAAAATGGGCCAACTAAAGGTGTGAAAATTCTAATTATATCCACCTGAACAGACCAGCATTGTGAATGCACCTTACACACCTGTGATACCTTCACAGAAAAGCCTGAGTTATACAGAGATTAATCTTTGTCTTGTATTTGAGAGCAGTTAACTACACTACATAAATTAATTGGTAATGAGATAAAGGACAGTGAATATATATACAAACCTTCCAGTCTTCACTGGTTTCTTTGAAAATATCTTGGAAAATCAAGTGTAATTTTGTCTTTTACTTCACTGCTAGGGTCCACATTGATCTATCATTCTCATTTTCCTTTGAGCACAAGATGAATATGGTATGAAAGCAAATGGTCACCCTATTGCTCATCTATCACATTCGGTAATGCTGCTGTTAAAACTTTTAAGGAGGATTTCTAACTATGTCAGGATTATCCATGTATAAAAAAACATATTTGAAAAAAACAATCTGATCAAATGTTAATCAACACTTTGAAGAAAAGAAGCACTGTAAGCACTATCTATAGCATTATCACAAAAGTTTCTCTTAGCATTGGATGATGAGGTATGCATATTCAGAGTCAGGCAGTCAAGGCAGCAGAATAAAGCTTTAGCCTCGCTGCCTGCAGTAAGCCAAGCCAATTTTGATGTTCGGCCGATAAGGTCAAACGATTTCACTTCAAGTTTCTCTTGGTAAGTTTGCTTCCCTTCCGCGACTCGGCCTGTCAATCATCCGCACTACAACTGTGACGACAGATCCTCTCACTTCAGGGCGTAGCTTTGGTGCACCCAGAGATATCTTATACCTCTGTGTTGCAGAGGAGCTGCTGGACATGTAGGACTTTAAATCAGAGTCAATGAGCAAACATTTTTGCGCCCCAGGGAGGAAATACCGATCCGACGGAAAAAAAATTAAACAGCTTTACTCGTCATTAAAGATAAAATATTTATCTTGAACATCTAAAAAATATATATCAATATATTTCGAAATCTTTTAATTTTATCCAAGTCATATGGTGGGTATGGCGGCCCCCTATTGGCCAGGCGCTACTGGCTTTGACTGTCCTTTTTTAACCTAAATAGAATTCCAGCACTGGATGTAATGAGCTCAGATAAATAGACATATGTGCCATTTGTAAAAGTGCTTTAGTATTACAACTACAAAAATGTCTTTTAAGCAGAAGTATTCAGTGTTTAGGCTGTTAAGTCCTATATTATCCTCACCACAGTTTAGATTCAGTGGTAGGTGATGTGCCTTTCCAGACCTCTCTGTAAAACAAGCAGTCCATTTAGATAAAATGTCTGCATTTAATTCTGTCATCCCCTCATTCGGTCTTAACTAAAAGTGGCAGTTTCTAATCCCCTTTGGGTTAAACTGTACATTCACAGTCAAAGGGCACAGATACAAGCACAAACAGGCTTTGGCGCTTTGGTCAGAAATTACAGAATAGTAGAATCATAGGGACAGCAAATTAAAACTCTGTTAAAACCTCTATGTGCACAATTTTACAAAACAATCTTGTGGCACATTAGACTTGGAGGTATCTTTTTGGATGAATTTTTAATGGCTAGGACAATACATTTATTCATTTACTTAGTTTTGTCACACTTAACTGTTTCAGACAATTTTTAATATCAGTCAGCAACAATAAGG